TAAAACATTAAGATCAGGTGCATATATATATGCAGACTGTATTATGATCTCTGCAAGTCTTTTTGATTCCCCCTTCCTTGATATCTCTCCCACTCTCTGACCCCTCTGGTCCTTTTCTTTCTGCCAATAACCCCCCTTCTGCTTCCGTGTCACATGTATTTCTATTATCCTCTTTACTACCCTCAAGATCTTCCCCCCACTTAAGATCCCCTTTATAGTGTCATGACCTACGCCCACCCACCCACACCCATGTGTATGGTGTTCTGGTTTGCTTTCCTGTTGCTGTGATGAAAACACTGACCAAAACCAACTTGGGGAGGAAAGGGTTTATTTGACTTACATCCTTTCATCCCGGAGAGAGCCCAAGGTAGGAACTTAGGGCAGGAACCTAGAGGCAAGAGATGAAGCACAGACCATGGAGGAATGCTGCTTACTGGCTTGCTTCCCTGGCCCAGGCTCAGCCTGCTTTCTTATAAAATACAGAACCACCTGCCCAGGGGTGGCACCACCCACAGTGGGCTGGGCCCTCCCACATCACTCAGCAATTAAGAAAATACCCCACAGACATGGCTACAGGCCAGTCTAATGGAGGCAATTTCCCAATTGAGGCTCCCTCGACCCAGGTGTGTCAAGTTGACACTAACGCTATCCAGCACATATGGCATATCTCTAGCTCTCTCTATATGCACAACGCACACACACATATTCATAAATTAAAATTGAAGATCTGCATATTTGTCTTTCTGAATTTGGCTTATTTCACTTAGCACAGTGATTTCCAGTGCCACTCCTTTTCTCCACAAATGTCATGATTTCACTTTCTTTATGCATTTCCCTGTTGATGGACATTGAGCCTAGTTCAGTTTCCTGCCTACTGTGATCAGCAGCAATAAACATAGGTGTGCAAGTGTCTGTGTTGTAGGATTTATAATTCTTTGGGTATATAGCTAGGGGTGGTAGAGCATTCCCATTTATTAGATTGTTATATTCTTCTTCATATAATTAAAAAATTATTTTATTGCCTTCATGTATGTAAATGTACCACCTGCATGAAGTGCTTGTGGAGACCAGAAGAGAGTGTCAGATTCATTGAAATTGAAGTTACTTAAGGTTGTGAGCCACCATGGGTGCTGGGAACCAAACTTAGGTCCTTTGTAAGAGCAGTGCTCTTAACTCCTGAAACATCTCTTTGGCCCCTATATAATTGTTTTTTATTTTTTGTGTATGAGTGTTTGGCCTGCATGTGTGTAAGTGCACCACATTCAAGTTATACCTACAGAGCCCAAAAGAAGGTATTGGATCCCCTGGAACTGGAGTTTTAGATGGTTGTTAACCACCATGTCGGTGCTGGGAATTGAACCCAGGTCCTCTAAGAGCAGAGCCATCCTTCCAAGGCCTTATATAATTGTGTATAACATTTGTAATAATCATATTTCATATGTAAATCTTTGAGGATAACCAAAATTATGTTTTCTGAAATTATTCAAGTGAAATCCAGTGAAATTGCTGGCTCAAGACTCATCCCATCCTCTAGCCAGGCTTGGTATGGTGGTGCATGCCTTTAATCCCAGCTCTTGGGGGGCAGAGGCAGGAAGATCTTTGGGAGATTGAGGACAGCCTGGTCTACATAGTTTTTGCATTACAGGACATAGCTAGGGCTATAGGAATACCCTGTCTCAAAACTAACCAACCAAACAAACAAACAAAAAATAACAAAAAGAGGTTTTCTTTTTGAGTTTTGAAGCACTTTCACAGAGACCCTCCAGAAGGCTCTGGCTACGGGGGACAGTATGTGGGAGTGCATTTCCCAACATACAGGCCTTGGGAATTATATTTTTAGCTCACCTTTGTTACATTTATTTACTTATGGGTCTGCTACAACGTGTGTGTGAAGGTCAGAGGACAACTTGGGGAAATCTGTTCTTTCTTTCCACTATGTGGGTTCAGGGATCAAACCTAAGTATTCAGGTAGGGCGGCAGAAGCCTCTACCCACTGAGCCATCTTACTGCCCCCCCCCCTTTTTGTTTTTTTTTTTGTTCGGGGACAGGGTCTCACTATGTAGCCCAGGCTAGCCTCAAACCTTACTACATAGCTGAGGATGACCCTGAGCTCCTCATATTCTTGTATCTACCTGCCAAATGCTGTGTGCTGGATAGATTTAGTGTCAACTTGACACACCTGGGTTGAGGGAGCCTGAGCTCCTCATATTCTTGTATCTACCTGCCAAATGCTGTGTGCTGGATAGATTTAGTGTCAACTTGACACACCTGGGTTGAGGGAGCCTCAATTGGGTAATTGCCTATATTGGACTGGCCTGTGGCCATGTCTATGGGGCATCTTCTTGATGAGTGATGTGGGAGAGCCCAGCCCACTGTGGGTGGTGCCACCCCTGGGCAGGTGGGCCTGTGTTACAGAAGAAAGCAGACTGAGCAGGGGCCAGGGAGCAATCCAGTAAGCAGTGTTCCTTCATGGCCTGTGCTCCAGCTCCTGCCTCCAGGTTCTTGCCCTGAGTTCCTACCTTGGGCTTCTTGATGAACTGTGACCTGGGAGATGTAAGATAAATAAACCCTTTCCTCCCCAAGTTGGTAGTGGTCAGAGTGTTTTGTCACAGTGATGGAGAAACAAACTAGAACATGCTGGGATTATCAGCCTGTGCCACCATACCAGATGTACAAAGTGCTGGGCATTGAATGCAGGGGTCCATTTATGCTAGGCAAGCACTCTACCATCTGAGCTATAGCCCCAGCCTAGCTTACTTTTAAATAACTAGTAACCTAACATGGAGCACATGAAAATGGTATCTTGGTGATGTTTTACTTTTTGGGTTGTGTGTGATGTGGAATTTTGTTCTTGCTCTCCCTGTTTTATGTGTGAGTGATCTGTCTGTGCCCATGACCTACTCAAGGCTAAGGCTTGAACTGGGTCTTCGGGTTTTCAAGCCAAGGAGTGGAGAGACCTCTCATCCCATGTCTTTACAAAATCAATTTGGAGCTGGGTGGGGTGGCGCATGCCTTTAATCCCAGCACTTGGGAGGCAGAGGCAGGTGGATCTTTGTGAGTTTGAGGCCAGCCTGGTCTACATAGTGAGTTCCAGGACAGCTGGGGCTACAACGAGACCCTGTCTCAAAAAGACAAAAGAAAAAAAAAAAACCCAAAAAACCAAACATAAGTTTGGAAGACCCCAACTAGAGGAAACATAGTTCAGTGCTGTGCAGTGATGCTCAGGGATATCTTCTAGAGAAACTCCAACCCTGACTGCACAGCAACCAGATACAGGCTGGTAGTGATCTTGCAAGTTACAGCAAATCAACTGAGCCAGATACTGAGGTATAAGCTCATGGAAACTTCCTCTGGTTGCCCACATCCAGGAAGAATTCCTTACCAGAGCAGACCTATCTTACCAGCGCACCAGAGCAGACCTATCTTACCAGCCCACCACATATCCCTGATACATGAGGTCTCCTTAGAACCATCCACAAGGATTCAGGGCTTTACACTGATCCCACAGCAAGGAGCAGGCAGGGTTAGGAGTTATTTTTGTGTTAGTCTGTACTGGTTAATACTTATCCCTGATGAACGAATCCTTTCATTGTTTACAAAGAGATTTTTACCCTGAACTTGTAAGGACCATTTGGTGCCAGTTTCCAGAACAGTTTTTCCACAAAAGAATGTTATTGCCATCTAGTGTCCAAAATGGGAAGTGCTCCTTTTAAGTTAGGCTGAGATGCAAAGATACGGAAGGTAGTGGGGGAATGGGTAGAAAACAGAAGATTTTCTTGTTTGTCTTTTCCTCATTGAGTAAGGATGCCACCATCCACAGACTATGTCACCATTGGCTGCAGTATTCTGATAAATGCTTTGTGTTTTATGTTCAAGGCAATGCTTTAATAGAAGTTGGGGAGTCCTTGAAACTTATGGCTGAGGTCAAAGACTGTCTGGATATTAATGTGAAGCAAACTTTTATTGACCCACTGCAGCTACTGCAGGACAAAGATTTAAAAGAGATTGGGGTGAGTCTTACAGGTTTCATTGTGCCTTGTGCTACTTAACATGATGCTAATAGTTAAAATCCTTACAAGGTTTCTGCAAGGACTCAGTGAATGCATCATCTTATTTTGAAGAGTGAAAAAAGAATTGTTACCGTATTATATGGGCTTCCTGAGAAAGAGTCCTGGGATTGGTTGGTGCAGCTCGGGAAGATGGGGGAATGGAGAGTGGAGATGCAGGCCCTCCACTTTCCAAATTTTCACTTCTAGTGTATTTTGGTTACTAATGTCGTCCCATATCGGTTATGTGTTTTGATCCATTGCATTTGTGGTCATGATTTTCCATTATTTCTTAAGGAAATCAGTGTGTAGGAATTGAAATTTTTCATCTGGAAAGCCACAAGAAAAGGTCTTCCAGAGTGTACCTGGGAACTTTCTGGTCCTTGTGGTCAGGCTAGTTGCTTTTGTAGAGGTGCAAAAAACAGCCCCAAGAACCCCGCGGTTTTTGTCTGGAGGTGCAGCGCCCTCTGGTGGAGCTGTGTAGAACTTCCTCAGGAGTGTTCATGGACGCCCCAGTCAGCCCGGAAGTCCTTTGAGCCTTGCCTATGTCTTATCTCCTTCTCTTCTCTTCAGAGGTTCTTCTTAAAATTTTTGATTAGATGTACGATGGAATTAAGAAGACAGCCCAGCACTCACAATCAGTGTCTCAAAGGGACAAGGCACATTGGATTCCTACGGAATGCAGAAGGGGTTCCTGCTCTTCAGTACCCAGAAAGTTAAATGCATATGTCCAACATGAAACAAAACCCCCAAAACTATGCTTTTAAGAATTACTCTTTCTGGGGCTGGAGAGATGACTCAGTGGTTACGGGCACTGACTGTTCTTCCAGAGGACTGGGGTTTGAGTCCCAGCACTCAAATGGTGGCTAACAACCATCCATAACTCCAGTTCCAGGAGATCTGACACCCTCTTCTGGCCTCTGCGAGCTTTGCATGGCATGGGTGCACATACACACATACAGGCCAAACACTCATACACATAAAATAAAAATTAAAAAATTACCCTCTCTTATTCTCCTTTGTAAATATTATAGTATACCCACATGTGCATTTGTTTACAAATGTACATGTATACATTATAGACTAGGATGCACATATGAGGGAAAACATGCAGTCTTTTACTTTTTGCAATTGGGTGACAATATTATGTATTCTAGATCCATCCATTTCCCTTTGAATTTTGTGACTTCATTTTTCTTAAGAACTGAATATTTCATTTTATGTATGTGCCAGATGTTCATTATCTATTCATTTGTTGATGGACAACTAGGTTGGATTCATTTCCTTTCTATAGTGAATACAGCAACAAATAAACAGGGGGATACAAATCTCTATCGTAAGGTCTAGTTCTCAGTTACCAGAGAGCCTTAACAGTGTAGTCTCTGAGGTGGTGAGTTCAAGATGAGCTTGGGCTATGCAGTGATACAAACAAACACATTAGAAATGTGCCCTTATAAAACACAAAGACTTGGAGTGGTGAAACAGCCAGCAGTTACAGTATGATGTTGGAGAGCGAGACTAGGGACACCCTGAGGGGCACTGTCCCAACTCTCAGCATAGCTGGGTTAGGGAAGGCCTCTGAGGAGGAGAAGCTGGCCAAGCAGACTGTACACCCAGTACAGCTGGCTCAAGGGTCAGGGCTGTAACATGCACTTACACTTATAGTGAGTCCAGGACACGGGGTAACTGAGGACTAGGGAGCTATGGAGAGAGGGAAGGCTGGGAGTCCTGGAGAGGCCCAGATGAAACCTGAATCTGCATTTAGAGTTCATTCAGAAAGAAAAGTCTATGATAGAAGAATCCAGGAAGGTTGAATGAAAAATGAAAGCCATCACACAGGAACTCCAGAAGTACCCCATGCTCTACCTAGACTCCTCTGAGTTCCCTCACTGTGCCAACCCCTCCTTCCATCCCAGGAGAAACATGTCCTCATTGCGTGGCAGGCCAGCCCCCACTGGCCAGGTCCATACCCTTCACTCCTCAAGACCTTTCCCACAGCTTCTGTCCTCCCTCTCTGTCTCTTCTTTCTCTTTCTCTTTGTTGGCAACACATTAGTACAGCGCCTGACTCTGTTCCAGTCTCCCTGCCTCTGCTACAGGAATCTTCCTAAGATACAAGCCTTCCAGAGCTGCCCACTGGCCTTGGGGTAAAGTTGGAGCATCCTCATCTTCTTTGCCTCCTTGTTTTCGTGACGTAATTATTCCTCCTTATTTGACTTATTGTCTAGCCTCACTGAGTCGCCTCCCATCCCCAGGTGACAGTGTGCTTTGCCTTTAAGCTCACTTTTCAGATCTCAGCTCAGAACTTTTTTCCCTGGGAAGCTCTCTGTACCCTCTTCAGAGGCTGTGAGGTGCTCCCTCAGTGCCTCTGGGCCACGAGCCCCATCTCTCCTTGGAGAGAGGAGCTATGTTTTGCTTAGTTCTGGCACCACAATCCTGATGAAATTTACACACATGAGTTGTTATGACTGGATAGTTCCAGAGAAGAAATGGCATTCTGGATTGTGGGGGTACCAAAAACTGTCCGCAAATACACAACTTTGTACCCAAGTATCTCCATCACTGAACTATAGCAAATTTTATGCCTTGTTGACCTTCAGTCAACTGGATGCTTTTCTACGTGACCTGGTTCAGTAGAGAGGTAGATGCTGAGTCGTGAGTGTGAGAAATGTGCAGAACACACTCATTCTTAAATGTTGAAGTTCCCTGTGCAACAAATAATTTCCTAAGTATCATTGACCCTCTTGTTAATCAGCAGCTATTGACACTGAAATATTGTAAATCAAAACTGAAATCAAGTTAAGAATCATAGAGGTAGTTAAGAATCTCAGGACTGGGTATGGTGGCACATACCTTTAATCCTAGCACTCAGGAGGCAGAATCAGGTAGATCTCTGTGAAACAGAGGCCAGCCTGGTCTATATAGCAAGTTCTAGCTAGCTGGAGTTACAGGGAGACCCTGTCTCAAAAAATGAAACCAAAACAAACAAAAACAAAATGTCTCAGATTCAGGAGTTCTTTCTGAGTCTAAACTATAGTCCGTGTGTCTCGGAAGTCAGCTCTTGGGAGCCTGCTCATTTAAATACAGCCATGCATAGGGAGTGCAAAGGGATCCATGGCCTCACTCAAGGTAACAGATAGTATGAGATGGGTACTTCTATCAGTTCTTCTCACCTCATCTAAGTCAAAGCCAGTGCTTCCTACCAAACAAATACTAGGAGCCACCCCTATGTGTTAGGAGGACTGTCATCCTCTGGGTATACTTTAGATATCAGATTATTGTTTCCTAACATTTATTTTCTAGTGATAGGCTCTGAATGGCCCCTCCCTTACTCTGCACAGTTATATGCTCCACATATTTCTGATATGGGGTTCTCCTGCTCAAACACAAACTGATGGGGAACTTACTACCACACAAGGCACCTCATTCCACAAATGGAGAGCCCTGCCACCTTGTTGTGCCTTATTAAAGGGATTATAATATTGGTTAGAAATGTCTCCATTTAAGAGATTGCATGTGACTGTCCCTCTTCAGCATTCCTAACGGCATTTGATCAACATATTCTAAATTCATTTGGGAATTTTAGAGAAAATTCATGAACATCCTAATGGATACTAAAAATGTGTTTTTATTGTTGACTTCTTAGAGAGTTGACAATAGTACTAAAAGAAATGTACTTTTTTTTTGTAGAGTTAATGTGGTTAGAAGTTATCTGTGGCATTAATAGAGCCAAAGTGAAAAGATCCTATAAAAACATTGGAAAGGGGCGACTGAGCATGGACATTGCATTCTCCCTGTGTTCCACACAGATTTGCATTCTGTCATGCGCCTACCCATCTATCTGTCTGTCCATTCATTGTCCATCCATCCATCCATCCATTCATCCATCCATCCATCCATCCATCCATCCATCCTGTAAATATTCCTGAGCACTTGCAGTGTAGACAGACTCTTAACAGGAGCCAAGGCATATAGAGCACAAGTATATGATTATTTCTTGCCTCTAGGATTTAGGCTGAATGGATGGGGAAAGGGGCGCACAAAGTCCTGTAGTTAGCTGAAGAGCTATTGGCAATTGATGGCTGCCGGGGGAGGGAGAGTCAGTTTTCTTCAGGGATGTGGCCCCTGAGTGGCTACCTATGATCCAGTAGATGGCCCTACATCCACACACATACTGCAGCACTAAATGGACTCTGGGTTTAGCAAACAAGCACATGAAGTTGGACAGGGGGAGGTGGTGGAAGGGGAGAGGATGAACTGGAGGGAAGGGAATGGGGTGGATTTAGTTAAAACATATATGCATATATGAAATTCTCAAACAAAAATAAATAAACAGTAGATTTTAGGCTGGAAAAAAAGCAATGACTGTTTATAGAAATAGCTCGTGGCCAGGTACCATGCTGTGAATGTCACAACTCTATGGGAACTTCCTTTCTCTTTTTAGCACCACCTGAGAAAGCTGGAAGGCCGTCGCCTGGATTATGATTATAAAAAAAAGCGAGTAGGCAAGATACCAGATGAAGAAATCAGACAAGCAGTAGAAAAATTTGAAGAGTCAAAGGAGTTGGCTGAACGAAGCATGTTCAATTTTTTAGAAAATGATGTAAGTATTTAAACCAAACTAAAGACCTTAATGTAAATAAACACTGTGCATGTGACCATGATTGGCACGTGGAGAAGCTCTAAAAATTATTATGGAGGTTTCTAGAATGTTCTGTAACCATCATTCCTGCCTCAGAGAAAATGTCAGACATCCAACTAACGCTGACGGAAGCCTTAGCTCTTGGGAAGGCTTGCTTATCCCATGCTTGCTCTCCAGTGTCCTGAGTTAGCTCTGGGGAGATGGTCTTGATGAAAGAGATGATCCAGGAAACCAACCTTTGTTCTTGAGCCCACCACATTCGTGGTTTCAAGGTGCCGTTTTGCTAATACTGAACAGCACTCTGAAGCAGATGCTGGAGGGTGAAGGTCACTCTCACCCCTCAGCTCTCTGGAGTCTCTTTATCTATCCCAGGGAACACTGCTGATATAGAAGAACGGCCTACATTTTAGCTGATTCATACTGGTGTTTCTGAACTTGGGGGGCTGTGAAGGTGTAGGGTCACGTCTCCCCCTTTCTGAAATGAAATTATTATAATAGTGATTCTTGTCAACAGCTTTTGTTTTATTTTTCCAAGTGAGGCCAAATGAAACTGAATCAAGGGGCCAGGTGATTCCCAGTGGCAGGCTGAGGGGCTCATTTCTATGCTTTGCTTGTAAGGAGTTGCTTAGCAGTTTTGCTGCTCAAGAAGAGGCTTTGTCCCCCGTGTCCCTCCTAAATCGTGGTGCTCAGCCTGGCTCAGTGACACTGCGTACCATCTTAATCAGCATAAGCTCTGGATCCATTTGTTAAATCTCACACCACTGTGGACAAACAGGCGATATATTTATTGTCATGTTGTACTTAAGAGAGCTTACTAAAGGTGCACCAAGGCCTTGCATCTCTTGAATCAGGTCAAACACTATATAT